ATCATTCTAGTTTAAATTACTAAAGGTTAATAATATATAAACCTTAGTCACTAATCATATTGAAATATATCATCAATAAGCCTATCTATCCTGAATTAAATAAGTCTTACTTTAATTTAAATCTTATCATAAATTTAATATATCAGATATAGTATTATCTATTATTTTTCTACTATTAATCTCAATCTAAGTAATACTATAATTAAAATCTTCTATATAATTAAGCTTTGATCAATTTTATATTATAATATATAAGTAATTTATATTAGTTTTGATATATTTCTCTAGGATCTTTTTATTATTATTATAATATTCTTATATATATTAATTATATATAAAGACCTATCTTATTTAATTACTAAATCTTTTTTTTCTACTAATTTCTACCTCTTCTTTAAGCTTTTAAATTTCTTATTCTTTATTATTTTATAATTTTCATAATAGTAACAGTAAAGTACTATCCTAATATTCCTTTTCTTTCAATAACTATTGTTAGAGTCATGTAATAGCCTCTATTATAGATTTTAGCGCTTTCCCCTCTTATTCCCTCCTCCTTAGGCTATACTATAAATTACAAAACCTATATCGAAACCCGCCCTATCCTCCCTATAGATAGAGAAATAGATTATAGATTCTTAAAGGAAACCCGCGTAGGTATATAGGTTACTTAATAGGTTATAAAAAAGATAAATATAGAACTAGCCTTTTCTATATAGATTATTTACAATTAATTACTTATATTATTGGTTATTATTAATATAGCTTTATGGTTCTTCTATTAGAATCTTTATTTATATATTATTTAAGCATTATAGTAGAAGAATAGTTATATAAAGTATAGTTATTAAGTAAAAGGCTAATTATATATATATTTATCCTTATATTTAATAAATTTATTTACTCTCCTTAATATGTATATTTAAGTATCTATCTTGTTTATTATAGATAAATTAGGCTTATTATAGTCCTTAGTTTATGTAGATCATTAAGTCTTCTCTTATCTTAATATATCCTTTTTCTTATCATTACTAATTAAGTGTAAACTGATCTACTAAATTATCTCTTCTTTTACTTTATTTTTCTTATAAGAGAATAACTTCTTTAGAAAATTAAATTATTCTTCTTATATATTAAATCTTAAAGTGTAAGAGCATATTATCAATTCTTAAATAGTTATGATATATAGTCTTTCTTTATAATAGTGATAAATATTATAAATAGTATTAAATGGTTATTTAGTTTTATTATTAGATACTTAAACTAAAAGGATATCTTAAGATATAATATCAATTCTCTCTTTAAAATACCAAAAGGGTAAAGTTAACAATATCTAAAGAGAATATTAATAATGATTAAAAATGTGATAGAGATAAAAACTCATTACTATAAGAAAGTACATAATTTTATTATATAATACTATTTATTATCTTTTCCCTTTAAATATTATATCCTGTTTAATCCTATTCTAATAAGATAGATTTAGTAAAAGACTTTATAATCCTTTAAAATTAATTAATATCTTGATCGCGATTAGTTTTTCTAATTACTAATATGAAGGCTATCTTAAGTATTACCTATTTTCTTAATTAGCTTAAATTACTGTTAATATCTTCTTTCTTAAGTAGCCTTCTTTCTTTAGGGTTAAGAAATTGATAATTCAAAAAATTTTAATTTACTTCTGGACCTTAAAGATAATAGACCATGATATCTTTTATCTTTAAAAAATTATTTTTAAATTTAAAGAAGAGTTATATTATCTAACTAATATAATTACCCTAATACTTTTTTTGTTATTTAATGTTAATTTTATCTAACTATATTTCTTATAAAAGTATTAAACATAGATTGAAATTATGTAACATAATAAAGAATAAGAAATATAAAGTTCTAAAATACTTAAATTTAACTAATTTAGAGTAAAGTTCATATTATACCTCTTTATATTAAGAACTAATGTTAATGTAGATAATAAGACTTTATTTATAATTTTATAAATTTATGTAGGTTAACTAAGAATATAACTTAATTAACTATACTTAACTTATTTATAGGATGAGCCTTTATAGATCTAACAGGCTTTTTTCACTATAATCTAAGTAATATTATCTAATGTAGATTATTAAATAGTATTAACTAATATCTTGTTATTTAATATATTATTTATAATAACTATTAGAGCTTTAAGCCTTAATTTTATATTACTAAAGGGTCTTAAAGAAAATAACACTTAGATTTATATTTAAATATTCTATAAAATAGTTTTAAGGCTAAATAATTTATCTATTATTCTATATAATAATAAATAATAAAAAGCTCTTTCTATCTTATATAAAAAAAGTATTAGTTTTATAAAAGTCCTAAAGATCTAAAAATCTAATTAGTTAATTCTAAGTATAATATACTTAATAAAATATTTCAAGTTTAGGGTTCTCTAGGTGGAATCCCAAATTATAATTAGATCTTTTATTTTTTAGTATGATATACCGAGACTATTATCTCTTTATATTAGGATATCTATTTAATAATAGTAGTCTTATAATATTTGTTATTCTTATATCATAAAATATCAGGTACTAAATAGAAGTTAAATTAGAATAAAGACTTACTATTAAAGATAATTCTCCTCTAATTATTAATAGTCTAGCCTTTATAAAAATAAGCTTATATAAGTTATTATCCTTTATAGTGATTAAGGATTAGAGGTTTTTATATAGTAAGATATAAGACTATTCCCTGAGATTTAAGGGATAGATAAAGTATCTCTTTATAAACTCTAGGTTATAGAGTATTATATATCACTTTATATTTTAGGGCTTAGTATTTAATCAATTATTAATTTATAAAATTATCTTATCTAGGCGCTTAAGGGTAAGCTTTAGGAGCCTATTTACCTCTTTCTTCCTTTATAGTATAAAATAGACTAATTCATAGATATATTAAGCTTATCACTAGATATAGTTTATTTAGGTTATGATTTTAGATAGAGATAAATATAGATAAGAACTAAGAGTTATAAGTGATTATATATTATATAAATATAGGTAGTATATATATATCTAAAGGGGTTAGGTAGTATAGTAAATATACCTTTTATCCTCTACTAATTAGAAGTCTATAGATAAAGATAATATATATTATATTGTAAGCTCTTTCTTTACTTATCATAATTTTATAAAAGAAACTAAAATTCATATATTTTACTAATTATAGCATTTTATATTATCATCTATAGTAAATAAAGTTCAGAAGGATTATTATAACTATAAGATAATCTTTTAAAAGGGTTAGTTTATTATAAAAGATTCTTAGAATAATTTATTTTATAGGGATAATTATTACCTATTATATATATTTATAGGTTATAATAAACTTAGTTTTCAGAACTATAATAGTATATAATTTATAGATACTTAAGATCTATAATAAAGATGTATTAATAAGTATATATAGAAGATAAAATAAAATACTCTTATAGGTATTAATTCTTTAAGTTATTATCTTATTTATTATAGTCCCTTAGCTCACTTACTAATTATATAAATTAATTACTATTTATCTAATACACTTATATATTTATACTCTTTTAGTTCAATTAGATTATAATTATTTTATTTTAGCCTAGGTTATACTAGATAGAATAAATAAGAGAGTATAGAGTTTTAAACGTTAAGACATTAGATTATAAGATATAGATAAAGTAAATAAAGATAAATATCTAGGATTAGTAAGGAAATTATCACTAATCTTAGATAGTTATAATAGATAGTTCAAATTATATTATTAGATTAAGCTATTATATATTATCTTAGAGAATTTTAAGGTATAGAAAATAAAGATAAAAATAGGTATAAGAGAAGAGATTATCTTAATTTAGACTATTATATTAGTATAGATTAGATTTAAAATTATGTAAAAATTATATCCTAAACTTAAATTATAATTTTTAATAATTTATCTTATTTAGATCTAGCCTTTCTCTAATCATTATTTATCTTAGGTTGATATAGTAATTAGTTACTAACCTTAGGGAATTATATTAGATAGTTAAGGTAATATACTACTTATAAATATTATTTTAAATCCTATTTTAGCCCCATATCTATTAAATATATATATCTTTCATCTATCATACTATACTAAATTATATATTATTACATACCTATAAAGCTTAAATTTTATATAGTCTTTTAGTTAAATTCTAGAAGTTTTAGTACTATGTATAACTATTATACATTTTAACTACTAGTAGCATACAAACTAAGTCCTATCTTAGTTAGCTGTATTAAATTATTAAACTATACTAATTCATTGAATTTCTACCTTTTAATCCTATTTCTCTACTAAAATATATTAAATATACTATCTAAATTTAAAATATATTATTAGTAAGCCCTAGCTAGTATATCTAACTAAAATAAGCTAAATATAATAGAATTAGCCTAATTATTTAGCCTTTTATAATAATTACTACTTTATTAGTTTTATATATATAGAAAAATTAAGAGAAAACTATTATCTTAATAAGCGCTAAATATAATATAAGAAACTACTTTAATCTAATATGTTAAGTAACTAATAATCTATAGACGCCTTGTAAACTCTAAGAGATTAAATATTATATAAGTTTAATTTTAATAGAATAAGGTTCTAATTAGGTTAAAGATAAGCTTAAAAGATTATAATATATTATTAATATAGCTTAGATAGGCTCTCTTTAATTTAATTAGCGTTAATTTATTATCTTAATTAAGTATATTATTATAGATAGTTTAATTATAATCCTATATTTAGTAGTAGTAGTAGTAGTATTCATTGACCCGATCTAGCTTGCCTCTAGTAATGGCCGCTATGCGGGGGTGCTCCCGGGCCTGCCCGGCAGCGAAATGGTGCCTGCACCCAGGCGGACGTGGATGAGGCGGAAGTTAGGGCTTCCCGCAGGGCGGTGTGCCCGGCGGTAGCCCGTTCTGCCCGCAATTGCCCGCCAAGAAGTAAATACAAAAATGGAGGCGGCCTGGCACGGCAGAATCACCCGCCGCACCTCCGCATCTCCGCAACTCGCAATTCCCACTCGCACCAAGTCCTCATTCCATCTCCCTCGCACCTTGTCCTCAATTCTCTCACTCCCACCTCACTTTGCCCTCACTTTCGCCTCACTTCCGCCTCACACGCCATCCCCAGATACATGACTATTCCCGGCCGGTCAGCCGCTGCTGCGCAATTCTGCCTCTCGAGGGAAGAGGGGGACCTGGCCCGTCTTCCTGCGATCCACGTTTCATCTACCACCACCACACTGCCCTGGTTGATATTATACTGGTTGTTCTTGCTGTTCGAGTCCCATGGCGTCTTGATCAACGTTGTGGAATTGCCCGAGTAGTCGAGTTCTCTCCATAAAGGCGGAGATTGCTGGAACTGCACTTCGCTCCTGCATGAGCTGGTTGAACGAGAGAGACGTGTCCACGCCTGCCTTGGCAAGCGCTTCTCGCATGTCTTTCCGCTCGTCTTCAAATAACGGGCATTCTAGCAGCACGTGCCTTGGCTGCTGCTGTCCGAGGTCGCAACTGCACCTGGGCGAGTCTTCGACTTCAATTCGCCAAAGGTATCGTTTCAATCCGATGATATTGAGCCTCATTTGGAGCATGATTGAGGCTGACGCTTTCCTTTGGCCTTTCCAGTAGTTGAGCACTTTCTTCGTCGGCACTGGAACGAGCCGCTTCGTCGCAATTCCTGCCTTCTCCCTCTCCTAAGCTGCCTCCCACGCGAATTTCGCCCGTTCACGGATGCCCCGCTTCGCTGCTGCAGCGAGCTTGATATTTCGATCGTGTGGGCCGGCTATCTCCGCCTTGGCTGCCTGTTTTGCGTGTTCGTCTACGAGCTCGTTGCCTGGAATTCCCTGGTGGGCTGGAATCCACCGGAATTCGACGCGGATACCTTGCTTGTGGAGATGCTGGAGGCTCTGGACGCAGCCACGGAGATACACTTGACCTGATGGCATGCGCGGTCGGACGAGCGCTTGGAGAGCAGCCTGGCTGTTAGAGAATACCACAACACCCTTCCTGGCTCGTTCCGGGCCGTCTTGCACCATTTCGAGCGCCATTTCCACCGCCCTGAGCTCCGCGGAGTAGACTGTTGAGTCCTGCTCCGTGCCCATCTGGCAGTGGCGGTGCTCACGTGTGGCTTTAACCACTGCTGCAGCACCCACTTTCCCATCTATTCCGCTTCTATCCGTGTAAATGATCACTTTCTCACCTTTCTTACTAATTTCAGTATGCATCCTGACTGCCTCGTCACGCTCTAGGATGTGCACGTCTGGAGGCACCTGCTATGGAGCCTGGACGTATGCCCACCAGCTCTCCCATTGTCTCGCCAAAGTCTCTGGGGGAGCCGTTAAGCAACCGCCCGTATGCCACGCATGTGCCTCCATCGGCGACCATCCACCACGTTGACGCTGCTGTTGAGGACGCTGCCGGATCATGAGCTGTGGAATTCCATGAGCTGGACCCGTACGAATTCGGAGAGCTGTCTCCGCGGAGATACGCTCCATCTGAATACCGATGGGTGGAAGGTGAAGCTCTATATTGAGTGCCTCGGCTGCGCTTGTCTTGAACGCTCCACCGATCAGGCATGCTGCTCTCTTCTGGATAGCGGCGAATTTGCTGCTGATATGCTTACACCTCCCTTTCTCGTGCCATGGATACCACGCTGACACCCCATAAAGCAGCTGCGGTATCACCACTGCCTGATATATCCGCCGCATTGCTGACGTAGACGCACCCCACGTGGAGCCAGCCAGGCTCCGTAGAGCTTGTAGAGACGTGCTGCCCTTGATAATTGCCTTGTCGTGGTGGTGTGTGAATGTGAGCTGTGGATCTAGCCAGAAGCCGAGGTATTTCGCTGCTTGTTCGGGTGCAATTATCGTGGTGAGCCCGTCTTGACCTTTGACGAGGAGAAAGGAATGGCCTTCATTCTTGCGCTCTGGAGGCACGAAATGGATCAAATTGTACTTTTTCGGGTCGAAGACTGACGCATGTTGGCTGGCCCAAATCCCTGCTCTCTCACACGCTTTTTCGAGCTTTGAAATAGTCTGTTTCTCTGTCTTACCAGTCGCCATAAAGCCCACGTCGTCGACCCATCCCATTATAGAGAGGTCTCCACTCCGTGTCTGGCTGTCTTCGAGCAAGTCCGCGTTATAGATGAGATAGAGGATTGGGGATAGAGGCGAGCCTTGTGGAATACCCGTTGGCGTTGGAATTCGTGCTGATATGCCCTCTGGCATACGAATTCGGGTGCTCCTACCAGTTAGAAATGCGCGTATCCACGGTGCTAGCTGCCCGAGACGTCGTTTATGGAGATTGTGGATCATTCTGTCATGGGACACGTTGTCGTATGCACCTGAAACGTCAAGCATAAGCAAGGATACAATGGAGCCCCGCCCCCATGCACTTCGGACCCGATCTAGCATGATTTGGATAGCATGGTTGGTGGATATGCCCCGCTGGCCGCCGAGGTGGCCTTTGGGTAACAGTCCGTGCTCCTCGACGGCGTATGAGATGCGCCTTGCGATCACGGACTCGAGAAATTTGGCAATTGTATTGAGAAGAGCAACTGGTCGATACGATTTCGGCTCCTGGTAATCCCGGTCGCCCGCCTTGCGGAGCACGACGGTGATTGAGCGCTGGAAGTGGCTGGGATTGTATCCTGTTCGAACATATGCGTTAAATAGCTGGTGCAGCGTGCTGAGAATAACGGGGATTTTGACCAATTTATGCCAGAATGAGTTCGGAATTGCGTCTTCACTAGGCGCCTTGCCTGCTGGAGACGCGCGGATAACCTCCATAATTTCATGCTGCGCAATTTCAGGAAATTCGACGTTCTCTGGATATATATATTCGTGCGTGTCCGTCATATCCGCGTCTGGCGGCTGCGGGAAGAACGCGTGCTAGAAAGCTGCAGCTTTCTGGTCCACAGACTCGGCTGCTGACCCATTACGAGCACGTAACGTTGGCGTTAAACCACGCTCATACATACCAGCACGATTTCGGGCCCATTTGGCCAGTCGCCACATGCCCCGGGGGCCATCCTCGACCACCTTCTGCACCCGCTTGCGGTGGGCCTTGGTAAGCGTGCTCTTGATTAGCCGGTTCTTATCGTTGCGGGCCTGGTGATAGCGGAGCTCGTCTAATGGGTCATGTGTGTGGGTCCACCGCCGGCGGAGATAGCGAACGGCCTTAACCGCCTCGCGGCACTCCGGGGTAAAGTCGGAATTCGCCCATTCAGACGGCTTGGCCCACGGCGTGGAGGCCTGAATTGCGGCTTGAATTGTGCGGATAAACGTCTGAGTTTCAAGCTCAATTCGGGTCTTGCCTGCCTTGGTCAGATCCCGTTCTTTGACGTGTTTGTTGACGAATTCTGTGAGGATTTTGTCGTCTGTGGCAGTCCAATTTCGACGCTGCGGCTGTTCAAACAGCGGTGTCGTCACATCTAGCGTCGTCCGAATAGGGAAATGGTCAGATTGGTGCTCGATATCATCCGCACGTCCGTGATTAATCAGTCGACTGGTTAGTTCCTCGCTGACCCAAGTCAAGTCTATCACCGTCTCCATACCTCCACGCTCCCACGTGGGCTTGCCACATTCCGTTAGCATATCTAGCTTGAACTGGTCCGCCAGTAGCAGGAATTCCTCTGCTTCAGCCTCCGCAGCGACCCCCGGCCCGCCCCATACGGGGTGATGGGCGTTGAAGTCGCCCGTTATAACATGCTCCCCCTCTTTCCGTTTGTTGAGCTCGTGGCGTAGCTTGTCCGGCATGCCGGAGCCGGGCCGATTGTAGATATTGTGCACGAATAGATCAGTCCAGTTGCCGTTTGTATGGGCCTTCCGGAGCTTCAGAATTTGATAATCCCGGTCCACTAGCGTGCACGACCACTCTCTTGGGTCTAGCTTCTTCGAGACGTAGAGACAGACTCCAGGAGGCTCGTCCGGGCTCGTGCTAGGATAGATAAGCTGGAATAGCGAGGAGACTGGCTGGTGTGTCGTATTTGAGAGCGTATTCTTCCATGGCTCTTGGACTGCTATCAGGCTAGCCTCCCACACGCGTCGATCCCTGAGAAATGAGGCCATCACTGGTTGCGATTTGTTCACATTGTATTGGATGATTTGGAGATTATTCATTAGATGAAGTAGTCTCGTCGTGGTCGTCTTGTTCGCTGTATTCTGAGGCTTCGTGGAAGAACTCATCTTCCGGCTCCGGCTCTGGAGGCGTGCTGCCGAAGTGATACGCGTCGGCGTCAATAATATCACTGAATTGGAGCCCGTGGCTAGGTGGCAGAGTCTCCTCGGTGGGCGCTGGCGCTGGTGGATGTGGCGGTAAGAGCTTTAACCGCGTCTGTTGCTCGCGTGCGGGGCTGCTTTGAATTCCAAATTTCTGCTTCAATTCCGCATATTGTGTGAGTGAGTTGTTGGATAGGAGAGCTCGAGAAGCTTGAGATGGACGAGCTGGAGCTGGACGAGCTGGAGATGGACGAGCTAGGATTGGACGAGCTGGAGATAGAACTGGAACTGGAGATGGAGCTCGGAGCTCTTGGTCTTCGTCCATAACGTCCTGGGGCTCCTCAAAGCGGCGTTTTTTGTGCTGCAAGAGACGTTCTGGGTCGGAAATAGGGTCCTGGAGCATGATCTGCTGCGAACGGGAATTCCTGGCGACCTTGGTGATGGAAAGAGCGTTCTCGGTTAATTCAGGCTGAGTTGGGAGGCTCTTGTCGCTGAAAGTGGAGGTTTTGGACTTGTTCTTGGAGCCTTTGGGCCGTCCGCGAGCACGTGGTTGGCTGGCTGGCTGGCTGGCTGGCTGTCTTGCTGGTTGAGTTGCTTGCTGGCTCGTTTGTTGACTCGCTGGCGCGTGGACTGACTCGCCGAGCCCGGTTGGTTGCATAAAGTTGAATATGGAGGCTGCTGGATGTGGAGCTGGGGCTGCTGGAGCCGGGGCCAACGGTGCTGATGAAGCTATTGGAGCTGCTGGAGCTGCTGGAGCTGCTGCTGGCGCTCGTTGGTCACGGAAATGCAGTGGAACACGGTGATATGGAGGGCATTTAGCCCTAATCTGTTCAGCCTTGGCCTTGGCTATCCGCTTGACGGGACAATCCAGGCTCGTGGGCCGGTGAGGGCCGGAATAGTTAGCACACTTGATATGGATTGGGCTGCCACTGGCGGACGGGCACTCCCAGGTCGGGTGCTCGTCGGCGCAGTGGCCGCAGGTAAAGCTTCGATTTGGGCAGTGTGATTGCACATGCCCGGGTTTCTGGCACTTACGGCACAACTTCACCCTGCCGTCACGATAGAAGAAGACGACTGAATGGACCTCCAAATTCCAGTATAAACCTTGATCAATCGCCTGATTGGCAACTGCTGGATTGTCGAATTCCATCATAACGGAAGCCTCGCGCTGGGTCTCTCGCGGGCGGATAAGCCAGTCAAGATGCACAATTTCCGCCTTTCCACCCTAGTTCAACGCATTCTGCCGCTGAATTTCGCTTACCAAGCCTGCCCTCGATTTAGGTGTGAGCTTGAAGCTCCAGATTAGAAGACCGTGGACCACGACGCCCCAGGACGGACTTTGAATCCGTGCTGCCCGGCCAAACAGGCTCACCTAGTCCGTGTGACGACGGAGGAGCTCTGCACCGGCAGCAGAATTGACCAGCATCGAAACGTCACCAGACGGCAGCACTTGGGCAGCGCAGAAGTACGCATTTCCAGCCAGCGCAGCCAAAATCCTCTTCCTGGCTTGCTTTTCCTGTAGCTGCTCGGCTCTGTCCACAATCGTTTTTGCCTCCATTTACCGCACCTTATCCCGGCACGTCGGGTCCACCTTGACCGTTATGGAGCGGTCTTCACGGAGCTCGACCTCGGTCACACCCGGCGACGCCGTGCCGTTGCTGCGATTGATGGGGGGATCGGCCGGAGTCGTGCGCCAGGCACCCGCCCGGAAGGCTTTCCAGCGGTCTGTGGACGACAGGGTCGAAGTGGATGTTACAGAGCTCGCTGACTTCTCAATGCTATCAATTCTGGTATTTAATCGCTGGGTGTCAGCGGCAATGGCTTCAAGAGTGGAGATCACCTTGGCCATCTCCCCTTGAGCGCTGACACTCTGCTTTGCCTGCTCGGCGAACTGGTGGACCGTGACGGCGAACCGGGTGACAATGGGCTCATCCTGGCCAGTATTCTCCATATGGCGAATAACTGCATTCGCTGCAGCTATCAGCTGGTCCATTTTGGCGTGGTTGTTGTTATTGTTTGTCGCGTTTCTGGTAGGTCTTGGCACTGCGAAATTTTGATTTTCCCCGCGGTCCGCAGGTGCAGAACCACGGTTCGGGCGCGGAATTCCAACAGCTGCCATTTTGCCCCGTACAATTGGGATCAAACGGTAGCCGTCGAAATAGTACACAATTTGAACTAGGTCTCAAGGTCCTAGGACCCCTGGTTGGCGAGATATTACAAGAATACGTTTTGCCAAGAGATAGTTGTTCAGTTTTAATCCTATATTTAATCTTCTCAGATTAGATATATATAAAAGGTTTAGTTCTATAATAATTTAGCGCTGAATTAATATTATAAAATCTTAGTCTCTTTTCAAGATACTAGAATTTAGCCTTTTTAATCTTAATATTATAATTAAATTAATATAAAGAAATAGGATAAAAGATATAAAAATAATCTAATTATTAAGCTCTTTAGCAATATACTAGAATTATAATCTTTATTTATTAATTTATTATCTTAAATAGTTAAAAGTCTAAATCATACAGGAAATAAGCATGAAAATATATTAGAAAAATATTAGATAAATTTAAAGATTAGACTAAAGAGCTTAATTAATTAAAATTTAATTTTAATTGTTCCTAAATAAGCTAGCTTATTAACATAAAGTATATTAGTAAGCTTAAGAGGAAACTATCCTTAATTTAAGCTTATTAATATCTAATTTAGACTATAAGATCTAGAAAGTAGCTATTAAGTCTTACTACTTTAATACCTCTAGATACAAATTAATAAATTTAGAGATATAATAAGAAGAAAAGATTAGACTATATATATATACTTTAGGCTACTATAAAAATATTAGTCCTAATTCTATAAAGATTAGATAAAAATAGAGAATAAGGATTCTAATAACTAGGTTATTAAAGATAATAGAAAACTACTTTATATAATATATATAGAAGATATAACGCTAGAAAAGCTAAAAAAGTGTAAAAAATAATAGTTTAGTATAGTATTATAGTTTAATATAGCTAAGATAAGAGGCTTAGTTAGTAGACTACTAGTCGTTGAAGTATATAATAATTATAAATATATAATCTAAATTGAATATTTAGATATTTTTATATCTATATTTATTATAAGCTTAGCTAATATACTTCTATATAATAAGGAATTTAAAATTAGCTTAGATAGATAGATATCTAATAAAGTTAAAGCTCTTCTTATTAGCTCTAAAAAGTCTTTTTATTAATATTTAGAATTAATATATATAAGAATAAGAAGGAAATATTAATTTAGGTCTAAATAACTATATAATAGTTCTTAAGTCTTAAAATTTAAAAAGATTTATTATTAAAATTATAGAATTCTAATTTAAACATTAGTATACTCTTCTTATCTTTTAGAATATCTTAATATAAGTTATTAATAATATTATATGAAATAGAGTGAATTATATGAAGAAATTAAACTTCTTTAACGGATTTTTAATTACTTAATATAAGGTATTAAGGTTAAAATAGTCAAAAGTAGCTTCTAAATAATAGGATTAGTTCTATCTAATATAGATTATAAAATCTTAAAGCTTAATATTAAATTTAATGTATTTATATCTACCCTCTTTAGAATAAGCTAAACTAAGTATAGAGGCTAGAAATAATATTGAATTATAAGTAGCGCTAAAAATAAGCTTTTTAAATTAGAAAGCTCTTTAAAAAAATACTTAAAGAGCTTATTAAATTCTACTATAGATAAAGTACCAAATTATATAAAATTATCATATAATCTATTACTATTCTAGCTTATATATCAATTGATATATTATTTTATTTTAGTTAAGTCATACTAGTTAAATCAATATATCTTAGACATGGAGTTCTAGTTAATTAGGTACTCTACTTATTTATAGAATATATCATATAATATAATATATACTACTTAATACACTCTAATTCTTTAATAAAAGATATAGAATATAGTAAATATGACAATTATTTTGATACGATAAATTTTAATAAATCCTTTTAAACCTAAATATCTTATTATATTTTTATAGAAACAGCATCTATGAATAATAATGATAAAAAAATTATTGAGACCTTTTTAATCCAGAGAATTAACATATTATATAAGATATAAAGATGAATACTTTGAAGAGAAACAGATATCCTATTATTTAACTCTGTAATTAAAACCTATAATACATATCAATAATTTAAATAGCTATAACATAGAGACTTAAAGATAAATTAATATATTTTTCGGATCTACCTTAAGAAATCAAAAGGAACATCTATTCCTTAGGAGATTAAAGAGAATAGATTATTATAATATGATTATATATTAGATTTTACGCTAGTTTCTAACATTAATGAGAAAATTATAATTCAAATTAATTATTTTACAAAAATTATGAAAATGAAATGGTATTGATATTAATTAAAAATGAATCCATAAGTTAGTAGACTAACAAATTCCCTAACTATTAAAGAAATATAAAAAAGAATTATAACAATCTAAAAATTTTAGTATTAATAAGCTCTTTTAGATAGCTTGACTTACTATAATACTTTTAATTTAATCTTAGGATATTATAAGTAAGGGTTAACTATATTATATTTTGATAAAAGAATGATAAGCGTGCTGACTTAATAATTACATATAATAAGATAAAGTTAAGGACAAGGGAATAAAAATATATAGTTATAAAGTTATCTTTTAATAAATTTTTTAATAAAATATAAATATATAAAGATAATGATGAGATAGATAATATCTTAGCAAATTCAATAATCTAAATATAAGAGATATAATATAAAGATATTAAGATTGAGTAGAATAAAGAATTATTATAATGTATAAGTAAGAATCTAATTTAGAATATAAGTAATTCTAGAGAATAGGCTATTATAATATACAAGCTACTTTTTTTCTATCTAGATTTTAATAAGATCTTAGATAAATATATCATATCAATCTCTATTGTAATTACTTTAGTAAAAAATAAAATAAACTTATTATTCAAATAGAAATACCATTAGCTAAATATATAATGATATATTATAAAATAAAAATACTCTTATTTAATACATTTAAAAATTATACCATCTAGATATCAAAATTATAGAACACTTAACTCTATATTATTTTATAAAACATATTTACTAAATTATTCATAGCCTAAAAAATGAGCTTTCTCTTAATAGTAAATAACAATAATATATTTAGTATAGTTTTAATAATAAGAGATGAATATATAAAATATTTTATTCCTTGTTAATATTTAATATCACTACTAATTATAGAAATAATAATAGGCTTACTACCCTACAGGGCTATATAACCCTATGGGAAGCCCTAATTCTACCCCTATAACTATATATACCTAGGTATAGAGTACTATTCTACTACTAGATAGGTCTAGGAGTACCCCTATATAGTAGCTATCACTAGAGGTAACCTAAATTAGGTAAATGAATCCTACTACTACTACTTATAAAAATAAAGTTATTTTATAGTAAGGTCTTATCAATATTCATATCAAGATTCAGATCTTTATTATGATGATAAAAGATCTATTTTTATAAAGAAATTCTAAATTTGAATTATAATTATCATAGCTAAACTAAATAAAGATTTCATATAATCTAGTTATATATATAAACTTCTACTTATTCTATGGTAATCATTCTAAACTTTAAAGAAGCTATCAAGAAGAGTAAGGATAGTAATATAGTATACTAGATATAAGATAGAATTAATATAAAAGTTATTATAGAAAATAGTTATTCAGTCAAGAATATATATTTTAAATATAGAAACTTTTATATAGACCTAGATAAAACCTATAGGAGTTAGTGAAATCTAGTCCTATATCTATTATAGCTTAGTTACATAGGACGAGACTAATAGGTTTAAACTACTATACCCTGCTCATATAGCGTTTTCTTTTTAAACCATTACCTAGCCTTAGTATACCTATAGGTTTCTATAGGAATTACCCATATTTATATGAAAATTTAGTATAATTTACTAATATAAGCATGCTAAAATATTAGTATTTTAAGCTATATAATATATAATATAGGTCTAGAATTGAACTCAAAGCCTAAAAAAAAGGCGATATGGTAGAAACTCTAAGGCTATTTTAATAATATAATATATTATATATATTCTTGAATAATTTAAGGATTAATTTCTATAAACTTCTGACTATAAAAAGTACTTAGAAAATAATAGTAGTAGTTAAATATAGTAGTGCTAGTAGAATTCTAGTGATTCTTGTAATTCTAGTAATCACGTATGTATATAGATTACTATAAAAAAATAGGAAAACTTAGGTAATCAATATATATCTAAAAAGGGTAAATTAATACTATGTTTATACTAATTTCAAACTATTTATAATTTATATTGGAATTCCTATTTCCTAAGGTAGGAGTATACCCTCTTAGTCCCGCCTATAGGATAGGACTAAATATTCATAACTACTATACCCTACTTTTATAAGACTAGCTTTTATAAGTATTCGATAGTTAGTCCTATAATAGGAATCCTATAGGCTTTATTAACATCTACTTTTATAAAGGCTTTATAAGTTCCTTTACTATATTTTATTTGAGTAATATCAATTATTTTAGGATAAGAATTAATTTATAAATATAGTATTATTCTAGATTCAGTCTTATTTTATCTTTATATCTTCTTAGTATTAAAATATGGATGTAAAGCTAACTTATTTCTCTTTAATATACTTGAAAATAGACCTAGATATCACCCATAGGTAATATAACATTCAAGTCCCATACCTATAGGTATTGTTTCAAGTCTAGTCTTATTACCTATAGGATTACCTATTCAAGTTAGAGGATTCCCTAAAAAGGCAGTCTTAGTAAGGCATAGTATAATAAATTTTTAAAAATCTAATCCTATACTTTTAGCCCTTATAGGACTAAAGATTATCTATCTCTCTAGGTCTACTTGAGGATTTAAGAAGATTAACTAACATGTTAAAATATTTTAGATAAATAAATTACCTATAAACTTTATAGAATTTTATAGATTCCTTATAGATTCTAATAGATCCTTATAAGTTCTTATATATTACCTGAAAATCTTAATTATATTTGATAGAAT